AACAAGACTGGCAAGCATCTCCCCGGCGCCCCCCCCCCCCTTTTCAGGGCAGAAATAAAAGCAACCATAAACAAATATAAAACTTACCTAAAATGAGTTGTCTTGAATTTTAAAATGTTTCCTCAGAAATAACTATTTTATTTTGATATTGAGGGTTCCTGAAGACTCTTAAAATGTCTCTTAAAGTATAATAGAAGCAGTAAAAAATTAGAGCTCAGCTGGGAAGGGCCTTTGAAAAGGCCCCACATCCCAACTTGTGGGAGACTCCTTTGTCCACCCTGGTGTCCTTGACATCTTGATAGAGTCCACCCAGCCTCTCATGGCCTCTTCTGATTTTGAAGACTGTATGATTCCATTTATATGAGGTCCTTAGATTACTCAAACTCATGGAGACAGAAAGCAGAAGGGCATTTGCCTGGGGCTAGAGGAGAGTAGGGAGTTACTATTTAATAGGAACAGAGTGTCAACTTGGGAAAATGAAAAAGTCCTAGAGATCAAGTAGATTCCTTGATCTACTTAATGCCACTGAACTGTATACTTTAAAATGGTTAGGATGATAAATTTTATGTTATGTGTATTTTTCTATATATATATATATATATTTTACCACAATGTGAAACATAAAGAAGCAAGAAAAAAAAATCATTTTGTTGCTAGAGGGTTGGGGCATGGAAAGCATGGAGAACAAACCTAACCCCTCCCCCTAAAAGAGTACACCCACTTGTCCCCTCCCAACAGTCTCTTCCCAGCGAACCAGCCCCAGTTCCTTCAATAGGTCATTTCATTTTGTTTTACAATGTATTTGAATCATGATTAAGATAAAGACTATACAGTATAATTGGCTGATAAATCGCTTTTAAATCTCTCTTAATCTATTGTTTCTTCTCTCATATCTGTTTCTCTGTCTCTTCCTCTCTCACTCATTCTGTCTCCCTTTAATTTATTTGTTGAAGAAACTGGGTCATCTGTCCTCAAGAGTTTTGGTACTTGCATCCCTCTGCTTTGCAGACTGATACCTTCCTCTGTCCTCTGCATTTCCTGTGAAGCAGTAATTGGATTGAGTTATTTTATTTTATAAATGCTGTAATCCAACTATATAATAACTCATCTTAGGTCCTTTTTTTTTTATAAGTGCCTTCCTAGCCTTTTGCTTGGAAAACTGTAAACATTGAATGGATAATTGAAAAAATTGAAAGAATCATGTCATGGACACCCTCCTACCTTTATGTAGATTCACCAACCATTAACATTTGCCGCATTTGCTCTCTCCCCCTCTGCACACAAACACACTAATACACATAGGGATTTTTCCCCTGCATCTTTCGAGCTCAAGTGGTAGACATCATGACACTTTACTCCAAAATATTTCAGCACACAACTCCTAAGCACAGCTCCTGTATAATCAATCAATCACAGTCTGGTTTGTGTATTGTCTATTTAGTGCATATTACCCTACTTATCCAAATAATGTTCTTTATGGTCATGGGTATTTTTGAAAAATTTGAAAACCAAGTGAAGATCACAAATTGTATTTCGTTTTCCTGACACTTTAGTTGCCTAAATTGGTTCTGCCCTTTTTGGGGGTTGGGGTCTTACCTGACATTGACATTTTTTGAAGTGTCCAGGCTAGTTGTTTTACATCATGTCCCTGTATTTGGATTTGCCTGATTATCTCCTTACGATTGGAGTCAGAGTAAATGTTCCCAGAAAGAACACTGCATAGGCAGTGCTGAGTCCTTCAGTGCCCCACTTGGAAGGCACCTGACGTTGGCTTGTCCCATAATGGCTGCTAGGTTTGATTGCTTGATTAAGGAGGTGTCTACCATATTTTTCTATTGTGAATGTACCATTTTCCCAGTTTTTCTGTTTCCCCATAATAAATAATCTGTAGCATATTAAAGGTTGCTTTTTAAATAATTTTAAAAGCATGCTATTTGGTCATGGGAGAAATCGGATGGCAGAGATTATGAGCACATTAGAATTATTACAGCCAGTGGAAAAAATAAATTTTAAACGTTTGTTTTTCTTGAGCGAGGAGAGACAAGGAGGGGAGGTAATAAAGGTGAGAAAATGGGCTTTAGCAAAGACAGACTTGTGTTTGAATCCCAGCTCCACACTTGAATCTGTGTGACTTTAGGAAAGTTACTTCACTCCTTAGCGCCTCGAGTTCTTTCCTACGATGAGCATAATAATAATCATTCCTGGCAGGATTGTTAAAATGATTAAATGAGCTAGTGTATGAGTGGCCTCTAGCCTAGCAGTTGCCCCAGGACTATCACTTGGGAAGTGAGGAAGAAATGCTTCCCCAGCAGTTTGCAGAGTTTATACTTCTCAGTGAGTGTTTGCTCTTGAGATGACATTGAAATATTCATGCCTGTTGATAAGAAAATATGATCAACAGGTAAGGTGCCTTTTTGAAATTTCAGAGAAAGGAATTCAGAACTGGAAGATGTTTGGTTCCATTTTCAGACCTCTTAAACATGATTTGTCTGGAGTGAAATTGAGCTGCCATTTATTCAGACCCGTTTCTGACTGCAGTCCATTTTAATCTGTTACCAGGGATTATTTTTTGAAACAGTTTATATGTAGTCGGATTGAGACTAGTGAGTTGTCATAATCCCATGACCCATTTACATGCCTTACTGTGAAAGTTTCATTTCATACAAGTGACAATTTTTTAAAGTTAATTAGACTCGGCTATACTGAGGTTAGCAAAAAGTGCTTTGAATTATCAATAATTCAGCAGGGCAGACATTTCTGTATAATGCAGTGGTTTTATAGAGTATTGTGAGATAGTTATCCCTAAAATGAATGGTTGTGAGCATACATCAGCATGGTGGGGCTTGCTTGAATGTAGCGTGAAGTGATATCATCTGTGCTTTCTATTATTGAGCAGAGTGTGAACCATCGGTCTTTCTGGCCATGAACTACTAGCAACCTTTGTCCTTTGTGTTACCTTTAGTTAAAAACGAAAAATGAGCATGAATGCTGGCTGATGGCCATGTCTTTCTTACAGTGAAAAATTCGTCTAGGGAAGAAAAATAGGATTGCCGATTTGGATTTGTTTCATTGCGTGAATGATATGTGACATTTTGTAAATTATTTATCACTGCAAGGATGGCAGCAAGGGCTCAAACATTGTTATATCAAATTAAAGTAGGAATCCCATTAGTACAAGGACTGGGTTTTAGCTGGAATCTATCAGGGGAATGTTGTCACTTGAAAACCAGATTGTTCTTTTAATTGCTATTTAAAGGAACAAAAATGTTCCCAAGGTACTGCAGTTGAGCAGTTGCGAGTAATAACTATGGATCCATAATTATGCAGTGCTGATTATCTGGCATTGAAAAAATGGTGGCAGGAGTCAGTGACCAATTTGTTGTAGCTTTTTTTTTTGGTTTTTCTAGAACAGAGTTTTATTCTCTGCTTTTTAACTGGGGCTACAAAAATATATTTGCATAGTTACCTCAGAAAGTAAAGCCTGTGCATATTAAAAGAACAAATTAAACTGAAAATAAGGGTAAGATAATGAAGGCTTGTATTCTAAGATGAAATTAACAGTCATATCGAACAGTTTGCAAATGCTTGGTCATGAGATGAGTTCTGGTTTTTGATGACATGCCACATTGAACCAAAACGTTTGTTGGAATCACTGTTACTATTTGAAATATTATTTTAGAATAAGGTTTTTTAAACTAGCATACATTTCTTTCATTTATTCACATGTATTTTTATATAGTTAGCAAAAAACATTTTGAGTGCCTCTGTGCATCAGGCTTTTGGAATAGAGTGGCTGAACAAATGAGGTTTATTCTACACTGATGTATATTTGGAAAGTTAGGCCTAGCAAAATCTTGTTTTTAATTTACATTTAAATAAAAAAATTTTGTGATTATACTAAGCTTTCTTGCCCTAAATTTTTGATTCACAAGATTCAAATATAAATGCGTTAGAGTTCCATTCTGATGGCTAGCAGACAATGTGTGATGCTTGGAATATGCAGTAAAATTTTAGTTCTCATACCGTTTGGCTGTGCAAAATAATGTGACCAGACCTGTAGGCACAGTCAGCTCTTCATATGGATGGGAATACTAGTGTTGCTGGTAGTCATAAATAACAGTGAAGGCACTAAAATGTATGCAGATTTATACATTGTTAAAAGCAGTTTCCTTAGTGAGAGTTAAAGGGGTGCTAGGGATTAGACAAATGTTTTGTTGTTTCTTTTATTGAAGGGGACTGTCAGAGATTGAGAGTTTATCCCTTTTGTGTGGCATGGTGTGGTTTACTTTTGAAGACACTGGGGTCAGAAAGGGCTTGTTAATGGCCTTTTGATCATCTTAAATGATCCTACAGAATTTTAAAGTTCTTAACATTTTTTTGGCCATGCCACACAGCATGCGAAATATTAGTTCCCAGACCAGGGATCCAGTCCACGCCCCCTGCAGTGGAAATGCAGAGTCCTAACCACTGAACCACAATGGAAAACCCCTTCTTTAGTTCTAAGGCTGTTATTATGTCACCTTTTAACATGCCAGTATTTTATGTCATATATTTAATTGATGGATAATAGTAACCTGTACTAAAACATTTGATAAAATTTAAGCAATCTGGTCTGATTAGATGATATTCATAGACTGTAATACTGAATAGATGAATCAATTTATTGTAGGCATATAGATTATGGAAACGATTTGAGACTTCAAATGAATTCTTAATGTTCATTTCAGGAAGGTAATACATAATATATATAAAGGTTTTAAATTTCATTGGCTTAATAAAAATTATTTCTGAGTCTTATGCATTACACTTAAATGTATTATTCAGGCAGTACTTCACTATCAAATAATTTGAGGGGTTTTTTAATTAGCAGAAAACATTGATATGAATACCCTATTTTTTCTTTGGTAAAGAAATATGTAAGACGCTTTTGATTTTAATACTTTGTATTTAATTTTGAAGTGGAGAGCTAACAGTGTTTTCTCATTTTAATTTTTTCATAGCCCCGTGCTGATCCCATTCCAATATGTAGCTTCTGTCTGGGGACAAAGGAATCAAATCGTGAAAAGAAACCAGAAGAACTTCTCTCTTGTGCAGACTGTGGCAGTAGTGGTAAGTTGTTATTTTTTGTATGTGTGCACAATGACTCCCCGTTATAGCTACGTGCAATTTCTCTATCAAAGAATACTTGTTATTTAAAGCAATTATTTGATAATACTGTAAGCTTTCAATTTAAAAAGTAAATACAAGTTGGGGGGAAGTGAGTATACTCGCACTGATATAAACAGTGTTATATATGTTTATAAAATACTATGTATTCATATTTTAAATTAACCTTAGATTTCATACCAACATTGGTAATTCAATGTGGAATATTCTACTTTGAAGGTAAATTCAGGGTAGAAAATTCTAAACTTTCAAGCTGATTGCAGCTAGAATCACTTGTTTTTTATAACCTGAAGTCTGAATTTAATACATTTGAGTTGGAATATATAGTGCTTCAGGTCCTGACACCTCCTGGTGAAATATAATATTACAGCCCAGCTCTGTGTGACAGTGAAGGGGATGGATAGGATTCTGGCAGCTGCACTGATATATTCCAGAAATCATCAGGCATGAAAGAAACACAAATTGCCCAGTGAAAGATGGGAAAAGACTGGTCTGTTCAGAAAGTGATACTGAAATCAAGGAACTACTGGGTAGGGATACTGTTAGTTGCTCAGTTGTGTTGGACTCTTTGCAACCCCGCCTGCCAGGCTAGTCTGTCCATGGAATTCTCCAGGCAAGAATACTGGAGAGGACTGGGTCATTGGTAAATTGCAATATCCAAAATGCTTTCAAGATTGCTGTCACCTCTTTTTCTCAGCATAGGACTTTAAGAGCACATTTCCACTTTTGTAATGGAAATTAAGTCACATTATGCTTATACTAAAAGAATTTGTCTTGGAACTCACTTGGTGGTGCCGTGGTTAAGACTCTGCACTTCACCGCTGAGGCAGGTGCAGCTTCAGACTCAAGATCCCACATGCTGCAAGGCTTGGCAAAAAAGATAATTAAAAAGAATGTGTCTTACCAGCCAGCCTTCCTTCTTAAGTTGCCTAGAGATATACAAGGTTATATGTATGTGTGTATACACACACATACACAACTCAACAGAGTGAGTGGCAGTTACTGGGCTTTTAAAAATCAACCTCTGTACTAATCTTTAAATTGTCTTCTCCTAGCCTACTGAAACTTTTCCCCGAAAAAATGTTATTTTAAAATTAACACCAAGTATTGCTCTAGTTATAGTTAATTCTTTAAAAACATCAACAAATCTGCAAAACACAATAGCATTCTCTCGTTTAGCAAGTCAGTGATACAGTATAGTGGTTAAGACCTAACTAGAAAGCTGGCCATAGACCCTCTACTTTGAATGGGTTAACCATTCTCAGCCTCAGTTCCCTTATTAGAAATGTAGAGATAATGGTAGCATCTTATATCTTGGGTTGCATGGAAACTAAAGAAGAGAACACAAGTAAATAGCTTAACACATGGTCTACACTCTGGTAAGTGTACTATACATGTCAGCAGTTGTTGGTCTTTTTTTATTTTTGGCATATCATATTGTTTTCCTTGATTGCTGCAAGAAATTTAAAATCTTACTGTTTATGACAGCTGCTTGATGGTTGGATAGAGGAAATGTTTCACACTGAAGAATGACACTGTTGTGTAATGATTCTTCCTCCTCCTATGAAGGTTTAACTTGATAGATCCTAAATGGTTCTGCAGCTCTCAGGACTTGACTAGGAGGAGAGAGCCTTGGAAATAAGAGATTTCAATCTGTGCTTGAGAAATGCTTTCTGACAGTCTTTTTGATGGGCTTTACAGATTCATTAAAACGCCTTCACCTGCCATGATATCGTGGCTAGTGACAAAAGGGCATGGAAACATTATCTGTATGTTCAGATTAATAAATCTCAATCCTTCACTCTCCTTGTTTTATCCTGGTGAGCTAGTGCCTCACTCATCAGCTCTGACTCTGTAGTTATCTTTTGGGTTTTCTCATGAGGCTCATTCTGAATGAATTATTGTTTTGTGTAACTGCCTGATCAATTTAGTAGTGTTCTTTTGTCTAAGGTTTACCCTTTGTGATTTTTAAGGTGGTACTTTAAAAATACCCTTAACTGTTTTATTTCTTGAGTGTCTATTTGTCTGGGCACCTAGAAAGATTAAAGACGTACTTAAATCTGAAAAGAAAAGTTCCCTTCATATGTTTCCTTACCTCTGGTGATACACTTACTTAAGTTGATAAGAGATCATTATCTTCCAGATCATAACTTCAAGGCTTCTTTCACAGGGTATAAAGGCGGAATTCTAAACAGGTAGATCTTAGATTTTCTGATGTAACCAATCTCCCTTCGTCTTTCCCAGATTGAAGCCTGCCAAAAAAGAGGTTTGAGTTCCTTTATAGTTAGAGGTGACTGAAATATTTTTACTCCTGAAGTTTCTCACTTTTCCAGGGTATGTAGATGTAGCGTTGTGTTTTCTTTTTTCAAAAATGATCTCTTGTTTTCTCTTTTAACACATGGGGAAGAATGGATTGAGGATACTATCTAAAAGACTTATATCCAGAGTCATTTTGTGAGCCCCTTCCTTCACATAGAATGAGCTAGAGACTTTGGAGTTGAGGTGTGGGTCATGGTAGAAATTCAAGACCTGCGGCCATCAGGCTCCTTTGTTTAGGATAGAGGATGGCTGGCTCAGTGTGCTTCTCTGGACTCCTCTATGTGATCTGGCTCTAGTGTTAAGGTTCACTTAATCTTCCCTTGTAACGCTCAAAATTCTCCAAGCCAGGTTCAACAGTACGTGAACCGTGAACTTCAGATGTTCAAGCTGGATTTAGAAAAGGCAGAGGAACCAGAGATCAAATTGCCAACATCCGTTTTATCATCAAAAAAGCAAGAGAGTTCCAGAAAAACATCTACTTCTGCTTTATTGACTACACCAAAGCCTTTGACTGTGTGGATCCAAACAAACTGGAAAATTCTTCAAGAGATGGGAATACAAGATCACCTGACTTGCCTCATGAGAAATCTATATGCAGGTCAAGAAGCAACAGTTAGAACTGGACATGGAACAACAGACTGGTTCCAAATCAGGAAAGGAGTACAACAAGGTTTTATGTTGTCATCCTGCTTATTTAACTTATATGCAGAGTACATCATGCGAAATGCCGGGCTGGATGAAGCACTATCTAGAATCAAGATTGTCAGGAGAAATATCAATAACCTCTGATATGCAGATGACACCACCCTTATGGTAGAAGGTGAAGAAGAATTAAAGAGTCTCATGATGAAAGTGAAAGAAGACAGTGAAAAAGTTGACTTAAAAATCAACATTCAGAAAACCAAGATCATGGCTTCTGGGCCCATCACTTCATGGGAAATAGATGGGGAAACAATGGAAACAGTGACAGATTTTATTTTCTTGGGCTCCAAAATTACTGCAGATGGTGACTGCAGCAATGAAATTAAAAGATGCTTACTCCTTGGAAGAAAAGTTATAACCAACCTAGACAGCATATTAAAAAGCAGAGACATTACTTTTCCAACAAAGGTCCATCTAGTCAAAGTGATGGTTTTTCCAGTAGTCATGTATGGATGTGAGAGTTGGACTATAAAGAAAGCTGAGCACTGAAGAATTGATGCTTCTGAACTGCGGTGTTGGAGAAGACTCTTGAGAGTCCTTTGGACTGCAGGGAGATCCAATCAGTCAATCCTAAAGGAAATCAGTCCTGAATATTCATTGGAAGGACTGATGCTAAAGCTGAAACTCCAGTACTTTGGCCCCCTGATGCGAAGAAACTGACTCATTTGAAAAGACCCTGATGCTGGGAAAGATTGAAGGCGGGAGGAGAAGGGGACGACAGAGGATGAGATGGTTGGATGGCATCACCAACTCGATGGACATGAGTTTGATTGAGCTCCAGGAGTTGGTGATGGACAGGGAAGCCTGGAGTGCTGCAGTCTGTGGGGTCGTAAAGATTCGGACATGACTGAGAGACTGAACTGAACTGAACTGAATCTTCCCTTGAGTATACTGTGCCAGCCTGGATTTACCTACTTTAGTTTAAAAAAAAAATTGTTCCTATCTTGGGGAGATGCACTGTAAGCATTTACTTCATCTGGTAGATTGGATGAGTGGACTTTGTCTTTAAATAGAAGGACTAAAGGAAAAATATGGTTCTTCTTCGAAAGCTTGGGGAGATTTTGTAGTTACAGTGCTCTGTTGTGACATGTTGGTGATTATAGGGAAAAAAGAATCAAATAAGTTGGCCTGGCTCAGCAGTGTCCCCCAATAATGGTGGGAGCCCTGGTGTCAGGGTCCAGTTCAGCTTCAGAAGCGGAGGTTACAGAGTGGCTGGTAGCCCTGGTTGGCCATACAGAAATGACCGCTGTCTCATACTCTAGAGTCCATTGGTTCTGGAATTGGATTGAGACTGCTTGTAATGATCAAAGGAATCCCTAATGTAAGATGTTTCTGTGAAAAAACAAAAACAAAAAACCCATAGCCTTGTAAAACAGCAGCAAAAAAAAAGGAAATATAGATAACAGCTCATAAGGATTGCTTTTAAATGTGTTTCCCACATGTGCCTGTTGGTTTTTAGTCACCTCTTTCTACCTGAAGTATCATTTATATGATGTCACATTTAGACTGCTTAGACTTACTAGACCTGGGTAATAAGTGTTTCCTTCTGCTTATGTCATAAAGTAAAGCCAATTAGAAATTTCTGTGTTTTTAAAATGGCTCAGTGCTGCAAATGGGCAGTATTTACTTTAACTGTGTTTTTTCTGCTAAAACTCCTTTTGAAAAGAAAGTCTTCAAGTTTGCAGATAGTAAAACTATGAAGGGAGGTACATAGTACAAGGAGCCGCAGATGCAGTGTTGCAGGCCTCTTCACTTGCTGGCTGGGAACCGTAGCTGTACACATGTGTGAGATTTGGAGGAGGATGTCTGTATCCTGCATCCACAGGGCTGTTGTGAGGGTCCAGTGAGATAATGCTATGAAGATCATCAGTTCTATAAATCATCACACAAACACTGAAGGGCTATTTGAAGCACTAATAGGA